TGGGAAGGGTGGGGGAGAGGGAGGGCTGGCGGGTGGGAAAGCTGCAGTCCACTTTCCAGAAGCTGCTGCACGTACATCAAAGGCACCTTGAACACATGCAGCTGGAGCAGCTCACAAAGTTCCTGCCGCGGCAGGTTGTTTGCAACTTTACTTCCTTCCTGCCACTTACAGTTCGGAGGCCGCGGCGCCGGGGGGAGGCGAGGGAGGGGGAGCCCTTTTCTCAAAGCGATCCCCGCTGCGAAGCCATCTCTCGTGTAAGCGCAACTTCCCCAGCCCCGCGCTGCCAGGCGGAGAGCGGGAGGGACGGGGGGAGGAGGAGGAGGAGGAGAAGGAGGAGGGAGGATCCAAGCACCGACGCGATGCCAGGTCGCCAGCCCCGCGCACACATCCTCCTGCCGCGGCCGCTCCGCCCGCGGAGCCGAAGCGCGGTGGCTCCACCGCACGGTGCGCACCAGCTGCTCCCGGAGAGGAGAAGAGAGAAGAGGAGAGGAGGGCGGCAGCGGCGGGAGGGCGGCAGCGGCGGAAGGGCGGTGGGCGGGTGGCTGCTTGGATGGACGGACGGATGCATGGATGCACGGATGGATGCATGGATGGATGGATGGAGGGGCGGGCGGTGCTGCCGCCCCCTCGGCGGGGCTTTGCTGGGCGGGGAGCGGGGAAGCTCCGCGGTGCCCCCGGGCCGCGGGGAGGGCGGGGACGCGGCCGCCCCCTCCCCCGGTGGGGGCTCCGCACCGGCTCCGCTGAGCTGATGCGGTTTGGGGGAGCGGCCGCAGCGCTCCCGCAGCCCCCGGCACCGGCACCTGGCCCCGGGAGCGCCGCTCCGCTGCTGCGGGCGGGGGGACCGCGGAGACACCGCGGGGAGGGGGCGGCTGCTGGCACAGAGAGGGAACATCTCAGAGCCTCTGGGCATCCCGGGCAGAACCGCTCCTTGGCATCCCAGCACCAAACTTCGCTGCGTTCAATGTGCATCTCTTCAGGCTTTGAAGCCGCACCGGAGAGAGAGATCGTTCAGATTCTAGTTCGGAGAAGTTCCCAAGCTTTGCACCCTCATTCAGGGTAAAGGCAGTTTATAAACACGGTGTATGATTTATACACAGGTAATTTAGTGCCCCTACATCACTATAGATTAAATGCAATACACGTGCTGCTCTGTAATGGGAGATCTATTTGGTGGTATATGATACTTGCTTATAAAAATTGTCACAACAAGGTTCCCCGAAGCCAAAATAGCTTCCCAGCCTTAAGGCATCCCAATACAGAATTCTGTCATTTAATACTGGTAAGAGCTCAGCATTTGCTGAGCAGATTCATGCCTTCTGCATTTCATCAGGTCCTTTCATTTTTACATGCCTACATCGTAGAGGTTTCAAGCCTTTCTAAGAAGAGACAGCTAATAACCTTATTTTTAAAGTGAGGCAATGTGCTCATCAAGTGCAAATCTGTGAACAAAGGCTGAGGAAAGGAAAGAAATATGTGCTAACAATAACAATAAATGCAAAACCTCAGAGATGAGCCATATAAATATAAAAAGGAAATCAAAACCAGATTTTATTTTATTAATCTTTTAGTGCCATTTTTATTAAATGCCCTAGGGGGGGTGTTAGTTATAAATGGAAAAAGAAAAATTTTATATTCCTGTAACTGCTGTTTAGAAAAAAATAAACAAAACCAGCATTTATGGTTGTTTATGATGAATGAGATTTAGGTCAGATGGGTCTTAAGCAGGGGCCTGGGAGCTGTACCTGGAGCTGTACCTCTTGCTAGGCTGGTTACTATCTGAGCATGGATGGGTGGAATTAAACAGCTATCACAGGCCAGCTCCGGAGCTGATAGAAGCAAGGACATATATATTTATTTAAATGATACAGATCAGATAATAACTGGATTAAGAAGAAAAGAAAGAAGGAAAGAAGCGTCTTTCCCTGGTCAGGGTTTATCTGCCAGGAACACTTTACTGCTTCCCTACAGTCATCCATGAAATCTGATGCCAGGAACAGGCTTTTCTCCCTCTGTGGTGCTGGGAATATCAGAGTTCCCAGGGCCACAGAAGGGTGGAGGGAGTTGAGGAAAAAATCTCTTTTTAAACTTCTGGCTAAAAATAGCATGTCAAGGAAAACGACCTTTGTTGGGACACAAGGGTGAGATCCTGACTTTGAGAGCATGCCYTGGTCAGTCCAGATATATGATTCCCTTGATACCCTGTTAACCTCASTGTAGCTAAAATTGGAGACAGCATAACTGTGGTCCAGCCTGCCCTCTCTGCCAGGCCCAGATCCTCCCCACTGCACAGGAGTGAAGAATCAACCAACCCCTCCTTCMCTTCTCCCAGCTTCCTGAGACCCCAGAAATGTGAGGACATTTCTCCCCACAGGCAGCACACACTTCCCCATCTCAATGTTAACAGCATAAAAATGAAAGAGGATCAACTGCTGACTTGTTGCCTTGTAATTTTTCAGAGTTTAAGCTGTGAATGAAAAGCCACCTGAGAAAACTGGACTGRGTCTGGGGAATTCATGTATCTGATACCCAGACTGTACACCAGGCTTCAGCAAAGCAATTACTGCACACTGGCTCCCTGTGAGAAATCAAAGGGATGCCTGAGCATGCAGTATTTATGAGACTGTAACATCTTCTCTTGTCTTGGTGGAGTGAAATACRTTTCAGAGGTAGAGTTTAAGCTAAATCAACTTCTAATAAAAAATAGATACAATACTTCTAATAAAAATAGATACACTCCATGAATCTTTACACTAACTCAGCAATTGCTCAATCCTTGGAGAAAAGGATGTTTGGTTTATTAAAGGTTGAGCCCTGCTTAATTTAAATGTCTCCATTGACCCCCAAGATAWGCACAGGAGTATAGAGGAAAGGGCTATGCCTTCAGATGAGGCACATTTTAGGAAAAGGATCAATTGCTGGAATGGCAGAGTAAATACATGTAATGAAACTTGT